TTGTATCTGTGCATTCATCCGTATAAATTATGTCAATGAAATACACTTTATTTATAAGAATTCTGGATTGAATTCTAGTAACAAATCATAACCTATGCCTGTATCTGCTACACAGTCTGTCTCAAGATTCATACAATTGAAGCCTGGCACTTCTGCTGTGGAACCAATCCAGGTTTCCTTCCCTAAAACTCTCCACAAATTCTTAGAGTGCACAGTACACATTACTCTCAAATTCTCTAATGGTAGTGAAACTTCAGTTTCTGTGGTTCCGGCTACACGTCTTTTTTTTTCTGCTTGAGAACACCATACAAACTGGTTATACATAGCAATAATAAGAGTGAAGCACTTCATAGGCCTGTTCTTCACGGGTGTTCACAGGGGCATTTCACATAGTTTTGTATATTTACGGACAGATACTAACACTAAATGAAACCTTTTATCTTAAGCACAGGCTCCAAAACACAAAGATTATTGTGTATATTGGGTATCTCACTATAAGGAAGATAACCACTCTTTACTCACCATAGTTGAGTGTTCCAGATATTTTATTTCTACAGCAATAGTCATCATAGAAAAGAGCACAAGAAAGAAGAAAAAAAACTGTAGAATCAGGCTTTGCAACACATACTAATGTTTGTGCCAACTTTAGCCAACTTAACATACCACTGAAGAGAAGCAGTCTTCAACATTCTAAAAGGAGCAGGGAAAGTAGGAAGGTCTGTAGCACTTAAGAAACATTTTGATTAAATTTATTATTGAGATTATAAAACAATACTCTCAGGTAATCCACATGACTGGACTCAATAATCCAGATGGTCTTTTCCCCTTCAAGGTTTTATGATAAAATAGTCATTACTTGTATATCTGAAAGGCATATTTTCTTCACAACAACAAGATTAAATAAAAGTCACATTAGATAACAGTAGTGGCAAACATGTTGCCTATGAATAATGGCCATTTGTTTCAGACTTCTATTTCTTCCTCAACAGTTTCCCCGAGGAAGAGACCAAGTCAGACATGCTCTAAATGAAACAACTGACTTCAGAAATAAATCAACACAGAGATAGCTTCCGCTATTTAACTGATGATTCCCATTTGTTTGTTTTTGATTTTACGATACAGTTTGAATACTGTATTACTTTTATAAAGCACAATATTACTACAGCATTCTAAAAGACTCTCAGCAGCTTGCAGCACAATTTTTGTAATACTTCGAGTCACAGCTAGATATCTAAAACCAGAAGAATGGATCCTTTGACATAAAAGTACATGTCTCAATCTTTCAAAGTTATGAAAAGGTAACAAAAAAACATTATCAGCTTTTCAGGGCTTTTCAACTTCAGGAGTTCAGATGATCAGTAAAAGATAATATGCAAATTGAAACAAAAACTGTATTATAATGCATATATGCACTGCTTTTTCATCAGTCACTTTTCTCTGCATGTCACATCCCCCTCCCAACACGAGCCTGCCAACTAGACTTAACACGTCACATCAACAAGTCAACTACCTGAAATAAATCTGAGTAAGACTTACACATTTTCATTCAACCCCACAGGTGTGCTCAGCAACAACATTCCTTCTGTGATGACTCCAACATAAACAGTAGCCCAACCTACAGGACATACTTCTAAAATGTGAGTTTAAAAAATAAATAAATAAATAAAGAGTACTTCAAGTTGTCTTCTGCACTTGGAAAACTCAAGAATTAAGATACTACAAGACAAAAAAAAAAAAAAGACATCCAGCTCTGAGATCATTCCTAAATCAATAATCCTCTTGAAACGGATCAAAAGTAGGCATACTAAGTAAACAGAAAATAGAGTTTGCTGCTACCAAAAAATCCTGAAGAATCACCAAAACAGAGAGGATCATTCGAGAAGAACTGGATGTGTCAAAGCAGGAAGAACTAGCATGCAGATTTAGAAATGACTTACTAATTTAAGTTGCGGTCTTATCAGCTAAAGCAACAGAGGAAAAGAAAGATCTTGATGGTCAACTGGCAGCATTCTTGTGTGTACTACATGCGGGTATCCTCCCAAACATGCAAATAAGGTAAAACTCAGAAGGCTGATAAGTTTTTAGAGACAGGAAGGCACACTGGTTGTTCAAAGGTTTCACAAAAATCTATCTCCATGTAACCAACCTGACCTCATATTGAAAGAGGTGCAAAGAAGGATCGCATTATGATAAAACAGCTGGAGAGGTCATTTTAAAAAGGACTGGACAAAGAAATTGTCTCCTTTAGCTAGGGTGGGAAAAACAGCTTATCTGGTTTTAATATTAAGCTTGACCAGTTTATAAACCTGTGTTTATAAACCTGTCTTTTACTACACAGTGTTTGAAGCCCAGAGTACTGAGGTAAGCAGTAAAGACAAAGAAATAAACTGAGTATAGAATGTATAGATAAAATAGATAACATATAGATAATATAGAATAAATACAGTATGCTTTGTATCAAAGACAGCTTATATCCAAATAGCCTAACTTTTTGATTACTACCGTACTAGACATCACTTTTAAGTAGAGTTAGTCTATATATAACTTAAATAAGAGGTTTGATACAACATCCCATAGGAAATTTCTCAAAGTACACATAAGGTAAGAATTGAGAAAATAAGACAAAACTATAATAGGTTACATTAAAATTGTAAATTATCATGAGAGAAAGACGTGACTAGCAGCAATCCTCAGAGCTGAGTATACTGATTCAATTTCATAAATTCATTAGTAACTAAAGAGTAAGAACTATGTATGTGCTCAAGAAATTTCTGCGTGTGTATCAAAAATGGAAACTATCTCCAGTACAAAGACAACTGCATTGTTATACAAAAGAGGCCATGGTTTTGCACAGCTAGAGTGCTAGAAGACGTAATTTAATAGCAGAGCATATGACTTGAAGCATTTAAGAAACAAGAACTTTTTCTATAAACTGAGAATTCATCAGGTGGAAGCAGTACAGGATGGAAAAAAAGAGAGCATGAGCTATGAACTCTAACAGTTTGAATGACCACAAAGTGAACATGTTAATGCAAGATGATGAGAGAAACTCCATCTGGCTCAGGAAGCCACCAAGCAAGATGAAAATATAAAGGCTTGAACAGCGCTAGTGAAAACAACCCATGCCAAGTTCCACAGGGCAACCTCTCCAACAGTGACGGAATGGGGATGCCTCTCTGCTGATCCTTTGCAAGAAGTTGTACAGTTGAACAGATTTAAGTCAAAAAAAAAAAAAAAAAAACTCTCCAAGTAAAATAGCCAGGCTTATTCTGATCACTCTGTAAAATAATAACAGTCTATTCTGTATTTCATTTCCTGTACCAATTTCAATTTAATATAACACTATTAACGCAGCTTAAAGGGAGAACAGAATAGACATAAGATGAATTTAATGGGCCAGACATTGCAAATTTTCTGATCACTTGACAAAAGACACAAGAATTGTCTTCACAAAAATAAACAAACAAGGAGGAGGGAAAAGAAATCTTAACAGATTTAAAATCAAAGTAGTAAGCTTCTGGAAGGGACAGAACAAATTAGTAATTTTTTTGTGAAGAAGCCATAATTTTGTGTTGTATCTGCAGAAATGATCTCATTAGCTTATAGCATAGTTATATTGCATATAGATATTTTAAGATTTTAATAATTATCTGTGGAGCCAGAAAGATTTTTTTTTCTTTATGAGGCAGTGGAGATTGACTACTTTTAAAGAGCATCAGCCATACACTGCATTCAGCTTTTCTCCAATGCCTGACTGATAATTCTTGCTCTCAAGTTGAGGGCAAACTAATAGTCCAGTCTGGCTCTGGTCCAAGTCTTCTGGGTCAGCCAAGGAGGAACTTTGGGGTTCTTTTCCACCTGTTCAGAGTGACAGCTGAGGCACATTAGAGAATAATCCAGAATTTTACTTAACATGCATCCTGCTCTTAGAAATACAATGATCGCAGTCACTCCATTCTTTACCTGGCATAACGTTCTGCAGTTGGATCTTTACTATATATTTCAAGGTTGCCACAGGGTCTTGGGGAATGCCCTGAAGGCTTCTCAAAAACAGACACTTATCACAGTTGCCAAATTATATGGGACTGCACTCAACGGCTTGGGCCATTTCAGTCCAGCACTGAAACAATGTGGTGTTTCAAGTGTTTTCCAGTCCTTGATGCTAACAATCATGAGTTCCAAGAAATTAAAGTGTGCATCTTCCTTCAGAAATCTGAAGAGACCTCACAAGTGACATGTAACTAAATATCTAGGACACCCTAGAGGTTTACCAATTTGACTGAACTTCTCTTACGCTCCTAAAACATTCCAGTTTACACACCCCAAAGTCTTATGCTAATCTTGAAAAAAGTTTTCTTTCTAATTATTGTATTTTATTACAACATAATTGCATTTCATAGAAAATAAAGAAAAAGAAAACAGCAGACAGCACATCCCAAGTTCACTGGTCTCTGAAAAAGATCTGCTCTACTAAGACACAACAGTCACAGCCAACACAAGCAAAGCAAATTCAACCGTTCAGCCCTGCCTCTTGGATGAGGCACCAACTGCTGTCAGCTCGCAAAACTTCCCAGCACTGCATCCACAAGCACCTGCTGTTTAATACAAAAACAAGCCGCCACCTTCAACCATTACCCACACACGCAGCAGCAACGCTCCACCTGCCAAGGACCGCTTCAAACATCCAGACGGCAGAAAGAGGAAAAATAAACAAACAAAGCAGCCTCCCCACGGATGAGGACCTGTTGCTTCCTCCTGAGGGGGCAAAGCAGCAGCAATGGGGGGAGCCTGCCTCTCCCCTCCACCTCACTGCTAAATTTACTCCCAGTTCCCAACATTCCCCCCCTGCCCGCCCGCCGCAAACACACGCATCATTTTCACTTTCCCTTATGTTAATCATTAAAGCGGCGAAAAGGGCAGGTTAAACGGCAAAGGCGGGGGGGAGGAGGGGAGACGCAATCCCTCCGCGCGCACACACACCGGGCCGGCCAAATACTCACTCGATGAAGTAGCTGGCTCCCTCCTCCGAGAACCCCTCCTCCCATCCTCGGGGCAGGTCTGCAGCGAGGAAAAAGAGAGAAAGAAAGAAAGAGAATAGAAAGGGAAAGAAAAGATGAGAACTCC